GGCAGATTCACCCTGAGCAGAGCCCTGGGCCCAGTGTCTAAAGGGGCTACAAGGATTCTGGAGAGGGGCCCTTCGTCAGGGACTGGAGTGATTGGACAAGGGGTGATGAGTTCAAACTGAACCAGGGGAATTTCAGGTTGGATATAAGGAAGAAGTTCTGTACTGTGAGGCTGGTGAGGCACTGGAACAGGCCGTCTAAAGAAGTAGTAAATGCTCCATCCCTGTCAGTGTTCAAGGCCAGGTTGGACAGAGCCTTGGGCAGCATGGTCTAATGTGAGATGTCCCTGCCCATGGCAGGGGTTTGGAAGCAGATGATCTTAAGGTCCTTTCCAACTCATCTTTCTATGATTCTGTGATATTGGGATGCTGCAGAAGGGGGCTGCCAGGATCCATCATCCTGGGATGCTGCAGAGGGCCAAAGGCACTGCAGGGACCCCTCATCCTTTTGGACCACAGTGGGGAGGGAGCTGCATCAAAACACCAGCTTGAGCCTTTTCCTCACTAAAGCATTGAGTAAGGAGGAGTGGAGCAGGGAGAGGAGGAAGGAGGCTGCATGAAATGGGTGCAGAGAAACGGCTCGTGGCTGGGGAAGGGGCAGCAGCTGGTGCTGGTGGTGCTCAGGGCACGGCCAGATGGGTAGCAAACCACACGGTGGCTTACAACACGGAGCAAGGGCTGGAGGAAAGGGGAACCGGAAAGGCATGGTGGGTTGAGCAATGTGTCAATCACAGCCCCGCGTCGGCGACCGCAAACCCCAGCACCGTTCCCATGTGTGGCCCTGCTCCCCGAGGCGGGATGGGGGCACCACGGGGAAGGGGAAGCCACTGGGAGCCCGGTGGTTAATCCGGGATTGGGGTACAGGGAAGAGTGGAGTCTCTTTGGCTGCTCCACTGGTTGGCACTGGGGCTTTGCCAGTGTGGTGGCTCTTCTTGCTGGGGGGTGGTTTGGCTAGTGCCAGACGTGGTTTTGGGGATCCACAGCCAGGACCGATACAGCTAGGATTGATGGATTCCCAGGTTTTGGGAATCCACAGCCAGAATTGGTGGATTCACAGGTTCTGGGAATCCACAGCCAGGATGGATGGATTTCCAGGTTTTGGGAATCCACAGCCAGAATTGGTGGATTCACAGGTTCTGGGAATCCACAGCCAGGATGGATGGATTTCCAGGTTTTGGGAATTTCACCATTTTCTGGAAACCCACGGCCAGGATGGATGGATTTCCAGGTTTGGGGAATCCACAGCCAGAATTGGTGGATTCACAGGTTTTGGGAATCCACAACTAGGATGGATGGGTTTCCAGGTTTTGGGAATCCACAGCCAGGATCGGTGGATTTCCAGCTTTTGGGAATCCACAACTAGGATGGATGGGTTTCCAGGTTTTGGGAATCCACAGCCAGGATCGGTGGATTTCCAGCTTTTGGGAATCCACAACTAGGATGGATGGGTTTCCAGGTTTTGGGAATCCACAGCCAGGATCGGTGGATTTCCAGCTTTTGGGAATCCACAACTAGGATGGATGGGTTTCCAGGTTTTGGGAATCCACAGCCAGGATCAGTGGATTTCCAGCTTTTGGGAATCCATCGTCCCACTAAACCTGTTGCTGTTTGCTTGCTGGTCCTCATGCCCCTGCCTGATGCATGGTCCCCTTCTACCTGCTGAGCTCCTGCCTGCACCCACTATCCCCTGTGCGCTGAGGAGCTACAGTTCAGCTGGGGACATGGATGAGAAACCACCAGCTCTCTTTTTCCCACCTCGTTCTGGTCTTTCTGACTGCTTTTCCATGCAGGGAGCATCCCGCTGGCATTCCATTGGGAGCTGACAAGTCCTTGTCCCCATCCCATGAGAACCTGCATGGGACTGGGATGGGGAGCATGGATAGGATGGGCATGTGATGCAAGGGAATGCCTGCCCTCACTCATCCTAGCAACATGGGTCTTTCCAGCACAGCAATATCCCTGTGCCCATCCCGTGCTGCCCCTTCCCTCCTTGAATAATCCTGGTTTTCCAGCCTCCTGATTTGCCCTGGGCTGGAGGGAAGTGAGGGTGTCCCATGGGGCTGGTCAGCCTAAAGGGGAACTCTTCCATGGCAAGGGGCTTGGAACTGGATGATCTTAAGGTCTTTTCTGACCCAAAACATTCTATGATGCCAGAGGGAACTACTGGAGACGGGGCAATCCCTGGTGCTCAGCTGTCTCGGCTCTATCTGTCAGGATTTCCATCTATTTTACTGAGAAAAGGGAATAAAAAACACAAAAGGGAAAAGGAAAAAAAAAAAAAGAACCTCAGATGAAAAGGATCTAATTTTAGCTCAGAACAGGGAGGCTCGAGGAAGCGATGTTTTAAAGAAAGGAAAGTAATCTGACCTACGCCAACATGCGGCAGGATGATTTATTGTGTATTAAAAAGGGCCAGGAGGAAATAACTCATTGATGAGAGCAGCTTCATCAGTGCGTGTTCATACATGTCTTCCTCATGGGGCTCTCTGGTTGGGGCCCCAGGAAAGGGGTGGCTCAGATTTGGGGGGCTCCTGAGCATCGTAGCAGTTGCAACAGCGTGGCCTCTCCTATGGGATGAAACAGGGGGGAAGGAGCCCATGGTGGGGTGGATGTGACCTGTCATGGTTCTTCCTGCCTACAGGAAACAGGGTGATGGTACCCAAAGGTAGATTGTGGCTTCCCCCTCAAATAAGGTCAGATGGGGTGAGGGAGAAGAGAGAAACAGGGGGTTTTGTGTTTCTTGCAGGCATCTTATTACTGCACCCATCCTTGTATTGCAGGACATGACCTATCTCTGTATCTCGGCCTCAGATTCTTCCAGTCAAAACCTGTAAGTCACTTGCCATCCTTTTGCCTCCCAGTGTGTTGGTACTTGTTGGTCAGTAAAAGCTCATTCTGCAGGATGAAGGTTCAGTTCATTTGTGCTGTGAAAACTTTTTATTGTTACAGAGCTAGACAGAAGCTGTGGTTCATTCTCAGGTGGTAAATAGCATTTGTAGGGCTTAAAATGTGTTCCTGTGTGAGTGTGAATTTAATTTTCCATGAAATCTCAGATTTTTTCTGCTGGGCAGAGTTAAGAATTAGAGCATTAGAAAGACAGAGGTTTGTGTCGTTCTTCCGTACATTTTCTTTGGAAAGAGAAGTAAAAAGCTTGTTAAAACCATCGTTTTCACCCACCCTACAAAGCACAGACACTCATAAGTCTTTTGCTGATGTTCTGAGGATGAAGCTGGTGGGAAGTGCTGCAATGAAGCCCCAGGCTTTCATGGGATGCGGCGCTGGGGTGTGATGGCACAGGGGGTTGCAGCACCAGGATGCTGCTTTGGCATCCATAAACCACCCACTGCAACCAGAAAATGGGCATTTTTTTCTCTCTGAACCCTAAAAAGCATCAAAACTTAATGCAAAATGACTGGACAAAGCCCTGTTTGTGGAGGTTTTCCAACATGCTTGCAAGTAGCCTTGTGTGGGGATGAGATTCTGCTTGCTCATGCTCCCGCTGAGCGGAAAAAGGAGCTTTACAAGAAAACCCTGCCTCAGCAAGAAATGGGTTTTTTTGGTTGGTTTTTTTTTTCCCTCATTTCACTGCATTTGTGGCATGTCTACCAAAAGGGAAACAAAAAAATGGGAGAAAAGAAAAAAGATAAGAGTGGCTGCCGGAAGGAAGATTTATTCAAGGAACTATTTTCTGCTTGTCAGTTTATGCCTTGGATTTCACAATCCTGGTGAACTTCGTGTCCTGCAGAGGAGATGCTTGTGACTCAGGATCTCGTTGGCACTCAGCATTACCAGCTTCATGCCCCAATTCCATGCTTTGATGTTGGAAAAGCATGGAGAGAGCTTTTCTATGCCTGAGGGGGAAAAAGCCCCTGTGGAGCGGGTGAGGATGGATGGGATGGTTGATGTGCTCACCTCCCTCCAGGATGGGGTGGGAGAGTGATGCTGCATGCACGGAGTGGGCTGGAGGCTGGCAGAGGGAGCTGGAGGTGAGAGCATTGCATCCATGCAAGCACTGTGCATCCCTGCTGGTCCAAGCCGAGGATGAAGGACTGGGACCTGGAGGGCTTGGACCTGTGTAGACACCCTGTGCAGCAACCCTCGGGGATGCTGTCTGCTCTGTGGAGTAGGATGAGCTGAAATGACCTAGGACACGCAGGGAAAGGCCCCTCAGATGGTGATGCTCCATTTGCTGTAGTGGTTGAGGAGAAGCAGTGTCTGCAGCCCATGAGGAGCAATAGATTGACTTCTCCTTCCAGGGCTGAGAAGCTCAACATTTTTACAGCTCCGGGGACTCCCCCATCTCTCTTTTCAGGCACCAGAACCCTCTGCTATTTCTGAGTAAATCCTTGGCTGGTTTCTTAGAAGGTGCAGAGCAGGGGGAAGAGCACACCCTTTGATAGGCTAGCTGGGACGGAGGAGGTTTTGGAGGGCTCTGCCAGCTCTGAACCACACTGGGAGCGAGCCCTGGGCTCGTGTCCTGGCTTCTGAGAAATCAGGAAGGCTGTGCAGGAGGACACCCACCCCATCACGTGGAGCCAGAGGAAGTCGGTGCCGGGGCAGAGCGCTGGTGGCTCCTGCGCTCCCTGCCAGGCGTCAAAGGGACCCTCTTCCCATCCCCGGAAAGCTGGGGCCAGGCAGTCACCAGCAGCCAGAGTTACTCAGAATCAGGTTTTGTGCCTCAGAACTGCCCCAGGGCTCAGCGTGCCTGCACGGGTGA